AGCTGGGGCGGCCCCTGGGGCCAGAGGCTCGCCGTGTGTGCGAGCTCTTGGCCCGCAAGTGGAGGAGCAGGAGGGTGAGGCCGGGGCACCCGAGGCTCCTCCCCGCGTCCGACGCCTGCCCGTCTCTGCGGGACGCTGGGATTGCTCGCTCCTCCCCAGGAGTTCCCCAGGAGTGGCCGAGGCTTGGAGGGCAGTGCATCTGCGGTGGCCGGAGAGGCCCAGCGGCCCCGTCCCCCGAGTGCCGGCCCACGTGCCTGCCGCCTTCCCTCCCCAGGGCACCGAGGCTCAGCGCCAGAGTGCCAGGAGCTTGGGCACTGGCCGGGCAGTGCCTTTGCCAGCTCATGGCCCGTTGTCTGGACCCGGCGTCTTCTGTGGCTGCAGAGTTGAGCAGGCGACCGTGACATTAGGCCGGTTTCTTCTGCCTGCCTCTTCTGGACGTCCTGAGATGCCTCTGTGTGTTGCTGCAATTCTGGGACACCCTGTGCCTGGAGCCCTCCTGAGCCAGCCCCTCTGCCCAGGCCTTCCTGCCCCAGCCCTCCTGGCCCAGCCCCTCTGCCCCAGCCCCTCCTGGCTCAGCCCCCCTGCGCCAGCCCCCCTGCCCCAGCCCCTCTGCCCAGGCCTTCCTGCCCTAGCCCCTCCTGGCTCAGCCCCCCTGCCCCAGCCCCCCTGCCCCAGCCCCTCTGCCCCAGCCCCTCCTGGCCCAGCCCCTCTGCCCCAGCCCCCCTGAGCCAGCCCCCCTGTGCCAGCCCCCCTGAGCCAGCCCCTCTGCCCCAGCCCTCCTGGCCCAGCCCCTCTGCCCCAGCCCTCCTGGCCCAGCCCCTCTGCCCCAGCCCCTGCAGCCCTCATGAGCCAGTGTTGAGCACAGGTGTCGGACATCTGACCAGGAGTGAGAGCCAGCACGTGAGCTGGCCACGGGCCCAGCAGCTGCAGTTCTCAGACCCGTGTGTGCGGCTTCCTGTGAGTTGGCTGGCCCCTCAGGCGTGGCCACGCCGGGCGGGCGTCCCCTCACCTGCAATGGCTCGGCTGGACTGGTACCTTTCAGGTGACTTTCCGACGGTTGGCCCAGCCTGGCTGTTGCATTGTGGCAGCCACACATGTGGCTGGTCCAGGCCTGCAGGACCCGTGTGCTGTCCCCGCCGCAGCAGTCCAGGCGCCCTAAGGCGCGTTGCGTCTGCAGTGTAGACCTGGGGGTGCCTGCTAGGTCCCAGAGGTGCGGTCCCAGCCGCTGATGGGTCTGGCTCCACCCAGCTGTGCCCTCCCCCACGCTGGGGTTTTTCTAGGGGTGTCCCCTAGGAGGGCCAGCCACAGCCTCCAGGAGGCAGTAGGGCCGTGGGCACCCTGGCTTGGTCCCACTTTGCCCAAAGGCTGCCTGTGTGTCAGGCTTGTGGGGTGCCGGGAGCTGCGTTCTCAGCCTCCCACAGGCGGTCCATCCCCCGCTCCGTGTCCTGTGGACCACTCCAAGCGAGAGTGGCCAGTGTTCCTCGGTGTCCCAGGAACAGAACATGGCGGTCATGGACGCGAGAGTTCCTGCACCAGCTGTGGGGGCTGTCCGGGGCCTCCCTGTAAGGCTCGCCCCACCCTGTGCCATCCCCGCAGCACGTGCTGGGCACAGATGGCCTCTTCCTGGTGGACGTCGGGAGCCCGGGCTCCTCCTGGGCTTCCTGCCACCAGGGTCGTGGGGAAGCGAAGGAGCCAGGACCTGTGTGCCCTGTGCATGGGCGCGTGGCCGGGCCCGGGGCTTCCCAGCTGGAAGATGGAAGGTGGGAGAGCCTGTGGCTCTGGGACCGCCTGCGTGCACAGCCACTGCCCTCCCGTCGCCTGCAGGAGCGGTCTGAACTCCGCCAGCTGCCAGGCTGCTTGGCCGCCGCCCCTGGCAGGAGCCGGGTGTCCCGGAGGCCTTGTCCTCTGCCACACTGGGAACAGTGGCGGCCTTGTGACAGCACAGCTGCTGCAAGCCAGTGGGACCCGGCACAGAGGACGAGCAGGTGGGGCGTCGGCACCTCCGTCCCAGCCAGGGTGCAGCCAGCTGTGGCCACTGTGCGCTGGGGCAGGGCTGAGGGCCAGGAGCTCCGGTCGTTAGAGGCCCCGGGGCCTCTGCTCGGTGGGCGTCTGCCGCTGAGCCCGCAAGGGTGAGGGGTGTTCTGTCCTCTGAGGAGGAGGGGGCCCGGCAGCCCCTGCCCTCTCCTACACTCCTGGTGGGAATGGCCCATCTTGCCTCGCCCGCCCGTCACACTGCCTCTTGGCACTTTGTGTCTCTGGGCTCTGCCACTGTGTGTCAGTCAATTTGACAGGTGTCACTCAGACTGTGCGTTAAAATTCCGTTCCTCACATCCGTGCAGAACAGGGTGACACGCAGGCAGCTCCGTGCTCGGGGTGGGGTGTCCCGCTTCACCCCTCCGGTTGGGGAGGTGCCCGGCGAAGCAGGGGCAGCCTGGGGGCTGGAGAGAGGACCTCAGCCCCGCTTTTGGCCGCCCGTCCGGCCGGCGAGAGGCAGGGTCGCAGCTCATGCTCCCCGGAGCAGCTCAAAGCCACACCGAGCAGCCCCTTGCCTGTCCCGTGGAGGCTGTGAAACTGCGTGTGTGGTGCGCGACGGCGTCCACGCCTGGTGCAGACTGGCAGGGAAGGTCTGCTGCCCTGCGCCACACGGGAGGGGGCTTTGGAGACGTGATGGGGCCCAGTTCTCATTCTGGGAGGTTTCTGGCTGGGTCTGAGCCCAGCTGGACCCCGCATTTCCCTGCTGGAGTCCAGAGGGAGGCGGGGTCTCCTGCCCACAGCAGCCCGCACCACGGGCTCACCCCAGACCCTGCGTAAACACAGCCGTGGCGAGCGCCGCTGCTCGGCGTGCTCCCTGAGTGCTGTCGGCTTGCCGTGGCTTGTTGTTGTTTTTAAGATTTATTTATTTATTATTTGAAAGACAGAGTTACAGAGGTAGAGGTAGAGGTAGAGAGAGAGAGAGAGAGAGAGAGAGAGAGAGAGAGAGAGAGAGAAAGGTCTTCCATCTGCTGGATCACTGCCCACATGGCCATAATGACCAGGGCTGTGCCAATCCAAAGCCAGGAGCCAGGAGCTTCTTCCCAGGCTCCCACATGAGTGCAGGGGCCCAAGGACTGGGGCCATCCTCCACCGCTTCCCCAGGCCACCGCAGAGAGCTGGATCGGAAGTGGAGCAGCCGGGACTCCAACCAGTGCCCATGTGGGATGCCGGCTCTGCAGGTGGAGGATTATTCCACTGCGCCACAGCGCTGGCCCCTTGGCGTGTTTTTTAGTCGTCTCCATGAGACTGACAGTCTCCCTGCTGGGCCCCGTGGGACCAGCCTCAGGCTGAGCTGTGTAGGCTGAGCCGTGCGGCTCCACCTTCCTGGCCCCAGGTCCCCACGCCTGGGTGAGGCTGCGTGAACAGCGGCAGCGCGAGTTTTCTCCTGGGTCCTGGCCCCCACGCAGCGCAGAGTCCTGGTGGGAGCTGGGATGCCCCACACCCAAACCCTGGCTCCCACGTCGGCACACTCTCCACCTGCCACTCCCAGAGCAGCCCCACCCTGTCCTGCCTGCGGCTCTGCGGGGCCCCGGCAGCACCTGTGGCCCTCAGGTGGCCACCGTCCTCTAGGCAAGCAGTCGCTGAGGGCTGGCGGGGCCGGGGTGGGGGCCCCTGGGCACCTGGGGCGGACACGGGCACACACAGCTGCAGGCTTCATGGTTTGAAAAACGTGGATTTTGTCTTGTGGAGCAGTTTCTGGGCTGCAGTTACCATGGGAACAGCTCTGCTGTGCCCACGCCAGGTCCCCGCCAGGAGCGTCTGTGTTGCGGGCACACTCCCCATCCACGCCCTCGTCCCCGGCCCTCTGCTCTCCCTGCGGGCCCCGCCCGGGACCCCCGGGATGTCGTCCTGTCTGCTCTGGGCTGGGACGGTTCTCAGACCCCGTGTGGGAGCTGTGTGGCCGTGAGCAGTGCTGCTGGGCACCCGTGGGCTGCCCCCGTGCTGGGGCTTGTGTGACGCTTCCCTGGACCTGAGTGGGTTGTGGTCTGCAGAGGGGGAGCGGGGAGAGGCAGCGCCTCCTCCTCACGTCCTGTCGAGGGTTCCCTGTGCCCCCCGACCCGCTGCTGCTGACCCTGACGGCCTGGCCGTGCCTTTGGCGTCTCCACTGCCTATCACGTCCTGTGCTCCCTGGAGGACGTGGCTGTGCCGCCCCATCGAGGGTGGGGGCCTGTGGGTCTGTGAGCCCCCTGAGCTCATGGGGAGAGCGTCCCTGGCTCCCAATACCTGGTGACTGGGTCACAGGTCTGTCGGTGTGAACTCGATGTCTGGTGTGTAGTTTGGGCTGTGATTCACTCCTTTGTTGTTAGCCTGCACTTTTGAACAATTCTTCCGTACAAACAGTTGAGGAACCCCTTATGCTCTTAGGGTTGCCCTGGTGCCTCCTTCCGTCTGCCCACGCTTCCTGCCGGCCCTCCTGGCCCCCACGTCACACACACGCAGGTGCCTGGCCTGTTAGGGGCACGTGACCTTTGTCACCCTGGGGGAGCTCCCAGCAGCACTGCCGCACTAGGGTGAGCTGGTTGTGTGTTCTGGAGAGAGGCTGCCCGTCTCCACGGAGACCAGAACCAAGATGGAATGCGCACTGCCTGCACTGGGGTTTCCCGCAGGAGGGGCAGAGCCACCCTCCCCCGCAGGCCACCTGGCTCTGTGCAGCCCCGCTTCCTTCCGCACCGGGGGCTGTGCTGCCTCCCTGGCCCCCGTCTCCACCCCGCTGCGTCCCCTGGGAAGGGTGGCCCTCGCCATGTTCTCTGTGTGCCCTGGAGCTGTGCTGTGTGGCATCGTGTGGGGGGCCTCCCTCCCAGGAAGAGGGCTCTGAAGCCCCCAGGCCCAGGTCCTCGGTGTCGCTGAAGTGCACGGTGACCTGCAGATGCACCTGGGTGCTGCTCAGGCCTGGCCAGCGGGACCTCTCTGGGCGCTGTCCGGCCCCCGTCCACGCGCCCCCAGCCGTCTCGTTCTTGTCGTTCTAGGATGGGAATCCCAACTGCTGGAGACCGGATTCCTGGCGATATTTTTGTGCCCTCTCTGGACGCTGGCCCGCCTGCCCAGGTCCACCCCCACGTCCCGGATCGTCCTGTGGGGCTTCCGGTGGCTGATTTTCAGGATCATGCTTGGGGCGGTAAGTAGCTCTTCTCTCTCCTCAGAACACGGCGCACGCGTGTGGCCGCCTCCCTGCTGACCGGCCCGTGCGGCTGCGTCTCCCGCTGCCGCCAGCTCTGAGCTCGCACCGGCAGGCCACGCTCGTCAAACACCCCGGCCGTGGGTCTTTTTCTCGGGGAGCCGTCCGGGACGGGCTGTTGGTCCCTCACTTTCCCGAGAGCTGGGACCTAGGTGACAAGTCCCCGCGCAGAAGTGGGAAGCAGGCATGTGTGCGGAGTGCGGTTCCCAGCCCCGGGAGAGCCGCGCTGCCTGCCCGGCCGTCCGACTGCCCCGTCGGCACCAGCCGCCTGCTGGTTTGGGCGTCTCCCTCAGCGCTGGGTGTGCCCAGGTCGCCGTCGTGCTCGGGGGCCGTTCCAGGCTGTGCCGTGCCCCTCCCATTGCCTCCGCGCTCGTGGCTTCTGTCCTGTGGTCACGTGGAGGGGCGTGTCCTCCTGCCCTGGATGCCACAGTGGTGACCTTGAAGGTGTAGAGCCCTTGTCTGAACCTGAGGTGCCGTCTGACGAGAACTGTCACAGGATGTTCCTTTTCGCTGGGAATCTCCTCCGCTGGTCGTCCTACAGATCTGTCCTCTAGTGTCTGGGTGGGGGAGCGGTCACAGCCACGGCACAGGGGGCACGTCTGACCAGGGCCCGGGCATGGGGGCCGCAGGGGGCACAGCTGCTCCCGCGCGGGGACAGGCACCGCCGACCGGGTCCCCCTGCCTTCCGTCCGCTGCAGCTGCAAATGTCCTGCGTCTTGCCCTGCCTGCCTGCCCTGCCCTGGGCTGGGCTGGTGGTGAGTTTGTGGCCAGCTGCAGGCTCCGTGATGGCCACAGGCCCTTCCTGACACGCGCTCCCAGGGGCAGCTTCCACCTGGCCCATTCCTGACCCTCGCGCTGGCCACTGACTCAGTAGGGCCCGCCCCGGGAAGCGGTTTCCTGCTGGGATTGGGTGTTTGTGAGGGGCCCACGCGGATGCTGCCTCTCCCCACGCATCCGGGTGCCCGTGTGTTCTGTCGGGGGCTCGGGCCTCTCCCCTCGCATCTGGGTGCCCGTGTGTTCTGTCGGGGGCTCGGGCCTCTCCCCTCGCATCCGGGTGCCCGTGTGTTCTGTCGGGGGCTCGGGCCTCTCCCCACACATGTGGGTGCCCGTGTGTTCTGTCGGGGGCTCAGGCCTCTCCCCACACATGTGGGTGCCCGTGTGTTCTGTCGGGGGCTCGGGCCTCTCCCCACACATGTGGGTGCCCGTGTGTTCTGTCGGGGGCTCGGGCCTCTCCCCACACATGTGGGTGCCCGTGTGTTCTGTCGGGGGCTCGGGCCTCTCCCCACACATGTGGGTGCCCGTGTGTTCTGTCGGGGGCTCAGGCCTCTCCCCACACATGTGGGTGCCCGTGTGTTCTGTCGGGGGCTCGGGCCTCTCCCCACACATGTGGGTGCCCGTGTGTTCTGTCGGGGGCTCAGGCCTCTCCCCACACATGTGGGTGCCCGTGTGTTCTGTCGGGGGCTCGGGCCTCTCCCCTCGCATCCGGGTGCCCGTGTGTTCTGTCGGGGGCTCGGGCCTCTCCCCACACATGTGGGTGCCCGTGTGTTCTGTCGGGGGCTCAGGCCTCTCCCCACACATGTGGGTGCCCGTGTGTTCTGTCGGGGGCTCGGGCCTCTCCCCACACATGTGGGTGCCCGTGTGTTCTGTCGGGGGCTCGGGCCTCTCCCCACACATGTGGGTGCCCGTGTGTTCTGTCGGGGGCTCGGGCCTCTCCCCACACATGTGGGTGCCCGTGTGTTCTGTCGGGGGCTCAGGCCTCTCCCCACACATGTGGGTGCCCGTGTGTTCTGTCGGGGGCTCGGGCCTCTCCCCACGCATCTGGGTGCCCGTGTGTTCTATCGGGGGCTCAGGCCTCTCCCCACACATGTGGGTGCCCGTGTGTTCTGTCGGGGGCTCAGGCCTCTCCCCACGCATCTGGGTGCCCGTGTGTTCTGTCGGGGGCTCAGGCCTCTCCCCACGCATCCGGGTGCCCGTGTGTTCTGTCGGGGGCTCAGGCCTCTCCCCACACATGTGGGTGCCCGTGTGTTCTGTCGGGGGCTCAGGCCTCTCCCCACACATGTGGGTGCCCGTGTGTTCTGTCGGGGGCTCAGGCCTCTCCCCACACATGTGGGTGCCCGTGTGTTCTGTCGGGGGCTCAGGCCTCTCCCCACACATCTGGGTGCCCGTGTTCTGTCGGGGGCTCAGGCCTCTCCCCACACATGTGGGTGCCCGTGTGTTCTGTCGGGGGCTCAGGCCTCTCCCCACGCATCCGGGTGCCCGTGTGTTCTGTCGGGGGCTCAGGCCTCTCCCCACGCATGTGGGTGCCCGTGTGTTCTGTCGGGGGCTCAGGCCTCTCCCCACACATGTGGGTGCCCGTGTGTTCTGTCGGGGGCTCAGGCCTCTCCCCACACATCTGGGTGCCCGTGTTCTGTCGGGGGCTCAGGCCTCTCCCCACACATGTGGGTGCCCGTGTGTTCTGTCGGGGGCTCAGGCCTCTGTGGGGCGTCCCCTGGGCCGTCCTCACACCTTAACCAGCTGCGCCGAGCCGTGCGTGCCGCCCCAGGAAGGGCTGCAGGATCTCCCCGGCGTGAGCTCCTGAGGCCTGCTGCTGTCGTGTCTGTGGTCTCACGCCGCTGTGCTGTCGCCCCGGCTCCAGTCTGGGGGACCCTGGGTCGGGCTTCAACCCCGAGCTCCCACTTACCCACTTAGCTCCCAGCACAGGGCTGTGGGGGCATCGTCCCCAGGCTGGGAGCTCTGCCTCCCCCCCCCACCCATGGGACCACGGTGCGGTCTCCTGGGGCCCTGGCCGGGGCTCAGCAGCTTCTCCACATCCTGCTTTTGCCACGTGAGCCCCACGAGCCGCCTGTCCCAGAAGCACCGTGGAGCCCGAGGGCATCTGTGGCCTTCAGCTCCGCCTCTGAGCTCCTGAGACCAGGTCTGGGGGGGGCCCTGGAAGCGGCTGGAGGCACAGCCCCCTACGCAGGCCCAGGGCTGCACTGGAGCGTGGGTGGGTGTGTGGAGCCTGGCGGAGCCCCGGCCCCGGGCCCTGCCCCAGGGCGTGGTGCTTCCTCTCAGTCCGGTTCCACCTGGTCAGGAAGACAGACAAGGTGTGAGACGCTAGCGCTCTGCGGGTGCACGGCCGCTGTGCCGACACTGTGCGCAGGCCCGGGCAGTCCTCGCCTCCGCTGACTGCAGCCTGCGAGTGGCACGTTTCAGACGGCTCCGTCAGGCGGAGGCGCTGCGCTCAGGAGAGGGGCCGTCAGGCTGCCCTGTGGGAGTCCGTGGAGCCCTGGAATGCCTGGCGGGACGCGGCGGCCATCGTGGCTTCTGAAGTGCCGCCGTGGCGTTGGGCCGACTGCTGGCACCGGCTGGGTGAAGTTAGACGCGTGAGAGGAGCGACGGCTTGTGTAGGCTTGTGCTGGGAGCCTCTCGACGAGGAGGGCCACGCAGACCCGCGCAGGCACCGGCGGCCGCTGGGTGGGCGCTGGGCCGAGGAGCAGCTGAGGCCGTTCGCTCGGAAACCAGCCCTGCGTCTGTCGTCGGGTGAAGCAAGCGACAGGGCCGAGAGGCGCGACAGCGGAGCGGGGCGGAGGGTGGGGCCCGTGCTGCTCCGTGAGACCGCTGTGGAAATGTTCCAGGGTTCCCAGAGCCGCACGGGCTGGTCCCAGGACGCCGCTGCCTGCAGGCCTGCGCACGGCTGGGGGCCCGTGGGACAGGCAGCCTGGACAGCCCCGGCCCGCTCGGTGTGGTGCGGCGACAGCCACGCCGCGCACCCGTGGTCCGAGACGGCTGCAGAGGCTGGAGCGGCAGCACTTCCTGAAGACGTCACAGTGCCCCTGCCATCCTGGGCGCTCAGTGACCTCGCGTGCCAGGGACCGTGGCCACAGAAGGGACGTGTACAAGGTGGCCTTCCCCAAGACACAGCTCTTCCGTTCTTCAGGGGCACGGCTGAGAAATGTGCGGGCAGAGCCACGGATGGACGCTTCACGCCACGGGCCGACAGACGCCACCACAGGCCGACAGACGCCACTGTATGGCCCCGCGATACCCGACAGACGCTGCAGCCGACACGCCGCTGCACGGCCCCGCGATACCCGACAGACGCCGCGGGCCGACAGACGCTGCTGCACGGCCCCGCGATACCCGACAGACGCCGTGGGGCCAGGGCCCCACATCAATAGGACATGGACCTGTGGCTGCAGGATGCAGAACGAGAGGGGCGCCCCGCTCTGCCCCCTGCCCTCCTGCCCAGTACCTCGCGTCTCCTGTGTCCAGAGACCGATGTAGGGTGTGGCTCGCAGCCGAGCCGACCTGCTGTGGTGCTGCAGCCCCCGCGCGCCACGTCGGAGCAGCGGCACGCGAGGCCCAGCTCTGCCCCGTCCTGCAGGTGCACCGGGGAGGCCGTGGGGACGGCTCAAGCGCTTCTGTCCCTGCCTCCGCGTGGCGGACTTGGATGGAGTTCCTGGTTTTGTTTTTGTTTTAAAGATTTATTTGTTTATTTGAAAGAGTTACACAGAGAGAAGGAGAGTACAGAGAGAGAGAGAGAGGTCTTCCAGTGCTGGTTCACCCCACAACTGGATGCAACAGCTGGAGCTGCGCCATCCAGAGCCAGGAGCCAGGAGCTTCTTCCGGGTCTCCCACGCGGGTGCAGGCCCAGCACTTACACCATCTTCCACTGCCTTCCCAGGCCACAGCAGAGAGCTGGGTCAGACGTGGAGCAGCCGGGACTCACACTGGTGCCCATATGGGATGCCGGCACTGCAGGCAGCGGCCCCACCTGCCACGCCACAGCACTGGCCCCATGAGTCCCTGGTTTCTAGCTGTGACCTGGCCCAGCCCCAGTTGTTGTGGGCACTGGGGAAGGAGTGCGTGAGATAGGAGAGCTCTCCAGCTGGCCATCTCCGTCTCTGACAGTGAAATACATGTAAATACATAAATTTCAAAAAAGTCCATCAGCCGGA